TCCTCCTTCATTGTCCTCTTTTTTTTTTTTTTTTTTTTTCCCCCTCATCCCCATACAGTACCGGCAGGTCCTCCTCCTCCTCCTGCTGCTCCTCTCGTCTTCTTCTTCTCTCCTCCTGCCCCTCCTCTCGTCTTCTTCTTCTCTCCTCCTCCTCCTCCTTCTCGTCCCCCTCTCGTCTTCTTCTTCTTCTCTCCTCCTCCTCCTCCTCCACCTACTTTTTCTTCTCCTTCTCTCCTCCTCCTCCTTCCGTCTTGTCCTCCTCCTCCTCCTCCTCCACCTACTTTTTCTTCTCCTTCTCTCCTCCTCCTCCTTCCGTCTTGTCCTCGTCTTCTTCTTCTTCTCTCCTCCTCTCCTCATCCTCGTCCTCGTCCTCGTCCTCCTTCATCGTCGTCTTTTTTTTTCGGCATCCACATACACTACCGGCAGGTCCTCCTCCTCCTCTTCCTCCTCCTTTCGTCTTGTCCTTCTCTCCTCCTCCTCCTCCTCCTCCTCCTCCTCTCATCTTCTTCTTCTCCTCTCCTCCTCCTCCACCACCTACCATTTCTCTTCACTTCTTCTTCTTCTTCTTCTTCTTCTTCTTCTTCTTCTTCTTCTTCTTCTTCTTCCGATAATTTTACTCTCTTTTTTCCCTTGCTGTTGGTCCTTGCATCCTCTACTTCCACGACACGATGGCGGGCGGTGGCAGCGGCGTCGGCGGGGGGAGTGGTGGGTCTGGAAGGACGAGAGGCAAAACGGCAGCAGACAAAGGAAAAGAAAATGTTGCAAGCACCTCCACTGCAACACACCCTTTTAAAAACCTTGTCACCCCCCTCCCTTCCCCCTCCCCTCAAACTCCTCCTCCAACCGCCCCCCCAACACACGCCTTTCACAAGTTTCTCTGCGGATTTGGGCTCCTCTCAGCGAGCGCAGTCCAACCCCATCTTCAAAAAAAAAAAAAAAATAATTCCTCGGACGTTTTTTGGCTCATCTGGTTTTGCAGGACCGACCCCCCCCGTCCATGTGGCCCGGTCCGTCCAGACCAGGCATCGGCCTAACCCAGGTTATGAACAGATAAAAGTTGGATATCATAATGCTAGGGGCAGCCCTCCTTCCCAAAAAAAAAAAAAGAAAAGAAAAACAAAAACAAGTGTGCCGCTTATCACGACCAAAATTTCGTTAAAAAAATGAACAAAAAGAAAACCAAAATTTTAAGGTTGCCAGCTAGGCTACCAGAGTGGCCTGGGACCACTTGCCCGGCCAGGCCAAAAAAAAAAGAAAAATTAAAAAATCATTTTTAATTATTAACTTTTATTTTAGATCTGGTAACGAATTTCGATGTGACCCCGAAGCAAAAGTTGTTCAGTTTATTTTTCTGCATAACATGGTTGTTTTCCGGATTTTTTGGATGTTTTTGTTTTTTGTTTGTTTTTGCTGGGACCTTCCCTGGTCCTTGCACGGCCGGACCGCCCGGGAAAATAGCATGACCCGGGCGGCCCGGCTGGTAGCCCAGGTTGCCAGCCCTTATATTTTAAATATTTGGAAATTGGAACCGATCTAGAGCCAATGCAGCAGAGGACACAGGTTCAGAGAATCTCATGAGTCAGGCTACACTGGACCTGAGTGTCCGGGACCTTGACCGGGACCTTGCCTGGACCTGGCCCGGCTGGGCCAGTCTAAGGCAACCCGGGCCGCCTGGCTGCTAGCCTAGCATAGCTGTCCAATGACCCCAATCCAAATTGATTTCAGAAAACCAGATCAATCATTAATGGTAACCCTTTGGAATTATTGTCATCAAAAGCGCAAGGCAACGTTGACGCAGAAACACGTTCTTTCAATGAGCAGCAAATGCTCGACAGGCAGAAGCATGGTGGACTGCCTGCTGCGGTTTCGATCGCTCATCAGTCCATGAGCATGCACAATCAGGTAGATCACAATAACACATCCCATAGCCATCGTCTGTCATGGTCATGTAAATCCACAGTGCAAGAGCAGAAGAGTGGCGGCGAACCGAAACCACTATCATTCTTATGGTATTTCTCTGCCCGGCTGATCTTTCTCTCGTGGAACTAGACCCAGACGCTGGACCCGGTTTCCAGCAGGTGCCGCTCCCCACCAATAGATGGAGCAGCCCATCGACCAAGCCCTCAATTCTCGTGGTTCTCTCACCACCGCAGGGATAGTGGGCTTGCAAAGGGCTTCCATTATTAAATTAAAAAAAAAAAACTAAAACAAACATGATTGATATCTGATTATCTGCCACCGGCCCACAGGGCATACTTTGCGAACCGCTGTGTTTCTCCCTGTCGCCCACTGGCTTTTCAGGAAAGGCTGTGCACAGGCTATCTCCCTCTCATCATCTTGCCTAACGTCATACCGTTTTCGTCTAATTAATTGTGGTTCTTCTAATACTAATCCAATCATACTACATACTGCATAGTAAAATACTATTAACTAGTATTAAGTCAATTAATCACATATCTATCAAGTTCAACTAAAAGATCGCACTTTTTACGAAAACCAAACGACAAAACTATACAATACATATTACATACAAACATGACGAGCACAGCGAAACCGTTCCTTTTGCCTGTTTGAAATTTGAATGCAGTTCTTCGGAACCCCTCCTTTTTCTTTCCTTACTGTTTTTCTTTGCGGATTATATCTTTTTTAAGCGGATTATTTCTTTTCTAAGTTTTTTTAGGTTCCCCCCCTTTACTGTGCCTTGCCTCTCATGCACAAGCCTCGCCACGTTAATGAAGTCGACCCTCCTTATGAACTTGACTCTTTTTAACTCCCAATTTTCCCAGATATCTTCTCGTTCCGAGTCCCTTGGGTTCATGCATTCTTTATTAGAAAAAAAAAAACTCAGGTGGATAGCGCAACAAGCTTTTCTAAGTTGAAGGTCACAGGTTCAAATCCTGTACGATGCCAACTTCTCCGCGAGAGTGGCCGAGTGTGGTGAAAAAAACTTGTATGGCATGTATACCTTTCCTGATACCGGAAAAGGCCAGCGCTTCAGCAGATGACCAATCTCCTGTAACCTGCTTGCAGGAATGGATCCCCACGTATCATCAGGGTTCAAGCCCTGCAAAAAGTTCAATGTTCAGACAGAGCATGAGATAACCCAATTAAACTCTAGTTACGCAGCATGCTAGCATACATGTGCACATTCACAAAATTGCCCATCAACTGCTCGCTTCATCATCGTCAGCCGATGAGCGCGAAAATGACAGCGCGCAGGCCATCGATGAGCTGGCCGGACACCAAAAAATGGCACCGTGCAGTCCAGTGCGAAGCTGAGCGGACCCAGAAATAACAACGAACAGGCTGTTGACAAGCTCATTGGACCAGAAAATGACATCAAGCAGGCCGCGGATGAGCTGATCGCTCGCCTGTACTTGAGGAAGAGACGTCAAACTTAGTCCCTTCACTGCTTTTTTCTGCAAAAGTCAATCACACCTTCAGTGGCTCTTGCCTACAAAGCACCTTACCTACACATGGTCACAACAACACATAGACGGAACCTCACATGATG